ATGCAGAGAGGGCATATTGTCTGCTGAGCATGTGCAGAGTGTCTCTTAGTGCTCTGTACTATCAACAGATGGCTTGAGGACTGTGGAAGAAGGGGAGGATCAGACAAGAAAGGCTCAAACAGCCTTTTTTACACAATGCAGAGGATTAACCCCTTAGGTTCCATAGTGAGTATAACAAGCATGTTTTGCTGCATATACAGACTGATCTTACTGTTGTAGTAAACTAACCCCTGTCTAGCCCAAATTTCAGCTTTAACCAGTTGTGGACATTTTGAGTAGACATGTGCGCTTCGGTTCGTTTTCCGACATATAGTACATTTTCAGAGATTCAGATGTATACTAATCTCTGAATGAACATAGCAATGAATGTTAACGAATCAGAAAAAAAAGTTATAATGAAATTAAGTATGCATTCATTTTATTCAGGTGACATCACATGATGCGATAGTAGTTTGGGCCAATGGAGTAATTACCTAAATTTTTGAATTTGTTCAATAGTTCAGATTCGGATAACAAATGGATCCGAATTTCTTTCCATTCAGCTGCACATGACACCAGTCATTATCCAATCAGCTTAATCGGCTCATGCCATTTTTCCAGGTGTGTTGGACTAGCGTCCAACATTATTGAATCCTTCTGATTCAAATCCGACCGATTCCAAAATATATCGAATACATGGCAATTTTCTGGAAACTGCAAAATATATTGAATCCACCCAGACCAACGAATATATGAAATAATTGCTGAAGATATGAAATGCATTCTGAAAATAGTTTGGGTTAACATAACATATATGACGAATCGTAATTCTTTAATGAAGGAATGCATCCAAAACAAAATGAACATTTCAGGCATGTACATGTCTAATTATGCATGCTACACATGTTAATCTAGGGGGGAGGGGAGTGTTAGATGGACTAGCAGCCTTAGATACACTAACAGATTGTAGATGAACTCCAGCTCACATTTTATAATCAGTTTCAACAATTTTATTTTTTTCTTTTGGGATAAAGTACAGAAGAGAAGATAGCGTGTTCAGTTCAGCTGAAAAACACAAGAACAAACAAACAAAAAATCAAACAAGAAAAACAACAGACTTTCTGGTAGGATCACCAGGTGAAGATAAAGGAAAGAGCCAAAAAAGGAAAACGAGTGCAGCCATCACATCTAAAAATTGGTAAGCTGTAATATAATAAAGGATTGCTTTTGGGTTTAATACCACTTTAATTGAAGAACACAGGGCATGTGTGGTGCATAGTATCCTTTTGGACCGCTTCCACTCCCACCCCCTTGCACTTGCTGGCAATTCCTGGCTGTCAAACCAACAACAAACCAAATGTCTAAATAAAGTATCTTATAGTTGTTGTCAGCTGTAGGCTACCTTCTGTAATGGACCTCTGACACAGCGTTAATAAACACTGTTCAGATGTTACTGTTCTATTTACTCTGTTCCATTCATCTTCAGATCAAATGGATGATTTTTGATCTGCATATGCTTGTCAGTTAAAGCAACATGACAAGTAAAAATATTTTTTAATGAAATTTAATTCTATCTAACCTCTGATAAATTTTTAGTTTACCTTTATCAGCACTCTTCAGAGCAGAGCTATATTCATGTCAGCTTCAGCAATGCAGTGTCCAAGAGCTCCCTCATTGGTCGCTGACATCTTTGGATGGTCTTCCTGAAGGTTTCAGTCTTCAGCCATTTTTATTGACCAAGCCGAGTTGATATTACTCCCAGGCATGCACTGGAGTTCATTCTAGGCAAATACTGCATGTTGCAGTATTCGCATGTGCACAGTGTACAGTGTAGGCAGGCAGGGGGAATACTTTAACACAGAAGAGACAGTTTGTCTTTTCTGTATTATAAAGTCTATCTATGCACAAATGTATTTATTTATTTATTTTTTAGTAAAGTTCCACTTTAAATCCTTTTTCCATTTCACCCAAGTTTATTTTTTCCAGATGATTTTTGTTTTTTACTTTTTTTTTTTATTTGATTACATCCATATTTCTGTGCTCAAAGCGGTGAATTTTTTTGCATGGAAATATGTATTTTTTTTTATTGTTGGCCTGTAATTTTTAGGAATAACTCACTGAAATCTGTCCGAACAAGAGTCTAGTAAACATCCCGGGTATGTTACAATTTGAAACACGAAATTATAAATTATAATTTAATAAATAGTCATATAAAATAATAATATAATAATAATAAATTTAGTTCAATTTATATAATATAGCGCCAAGTTTGCACATCACTGAGCAAAGTCGCAAAATCGTTTTCAGTGTCTGATGACGAATTTCGCCACGAATCATTATCACTCAATTCTGCAAGTGATTCTAATTTACTATCGCTGTTCTCTAGCTGGTCTAAAACTGCTTTTGACCTGAAGGGACGCTTTTTGGATGCCATGGACAGTCTTTGACAGGTTCTTTATTAAAAGAAGGAAAATAAAAGAATGTCCGCAGAAGTATATCTGACGGCAATCATGATGCCCGCCGCCGCCACCCGCAAAAATTTATAAAAACTCCCAACACTGGCTCCCAGCCATCTGACTGCTCCGCGGGCATTGTGATTGACGTCGGATCTACTTCGGGGGACATTCTTTTAATAAAGGACTTGTCAAAGATTGTCTCCTGTCTTTTCACACTACATTTTTTTGTGTGAATGAGTAGCATTACCATGTACCCCATACTCATTCACATGGGGGGGTGGATCTGGGGGCCTCTTGCTAAAGGGGGCTTCCAGATTCCGATAAGTCCCCCGCTCGCAGACCTCCACAACCACAGCCCATGGTTGTGGGGAAGAGGCTCTTGTCCCCATCAACATGGAGACCAGGTGCTTTGGGGGGCAGCCATTTTGAGGGCATGTGGCCTGGTATGGTTAAGGAGGGGGGGTGCTCACTCGTCCCCTCCCCTTTCCTGACCTGCCAGGCTGCATGCTCAGATAAGGGTCTGGTATGGATTTTGGGGGGGACCCCACAACATTATTTTAAAATTTTGGCATGGGGGTTCCCCTCAAAATCCATACCAGACCCGAAGGGCTTGGTATGGATGGAGGGGGGACACCATGCCACTTTTTAAATTGCCGGTAATTCTTTCTTTTACATTCAGCTGTCAGTGGGGAACCCCATGACTTGATAAAATAACTTGTGGTATTTTAGTAGTGTTTAGTGAATTCAAACTTTTTTTTTTTTAAATGCTGTGCAGTTTCCTACTGCATACTCAGATGCAGTAAGATACCACTTAGTGAATTGTGCCCATAATCACCAAAAGAAAGCCTTGTTTGTCCTAATATTTTCCAACATTTAGTATGAACTCAGAATATTATATTATACCATATTTGTGTATGGCTTCCTATAATCTAAGCATTGGAAGACATATGTAATAAAATATTAGGGTATATGTAACCCAAAAAGAAAAAATTATTATAAATCTGCCTACCAGTTGTAGTGGCTGCGTTAGTTTACTTTTTAGGCAAGGAGCATTTATCCCTCTGTTATGGAGATGAGAAGAAGGATTGGTGTTCTGTAGTCCACAGATAGAGCTGGAAACAACACTAGCTGATAACAGTCAGTAGAGGCAGGGAACACAAGAAGTTATCAGCTCACTGGATTGTTGGGGAATCAATAGGTGTTTTTGTACTTATCAAACAAATATAACACATTCATTTTAATGGTATTTTTAACAGGTCAAACGGAGAAATTAAAAGAGTTTATGTACACTTTAATATGTGTTTTGCACAAAATTGTGTTATGTGGATTGTCCAATGTTTGGTATAAGTTAACACTAATAAGGCATGCCATTCAAGCTGGATTTTAGTTTCATTTTTCACAATAAAATATAATATTGTATTCTGATATATAAATGCAGCTGACACATGTAATGCTAGCATTCAACACATACAATATATTCCTTCTTTCATTTCAAAGTTTCCTCTGCATTCACATGCAGACCCAACTGTCTAGAAAACTTGACAGGGGTGGGACAACCTATAACAGTGCCAGTAGTGCTTCGGCACTAACCCATAATCCATAAATATGGTAATTGTTGCAAGCACCCATGACAGTGTTAAAGGTTTGTCCCAAACCCTGCCACTTCTCTTTAGCTGGACAGCTTGGTTTAAATGTGGAAGAACATGAAAAAGACATGATAAATAAAAAAAGGAATTCATACATTGAGTGCTATTTTTATATGGACCAACCACATACTTTTTTCAGTATAAAATACTGTATTTGTGGTCCTTTTCATTTCCCAGTAGAAGACAACTTATCATATTCTTCTCTAACATAGACAAAGCATCACAAACTAGAATTCACATTTTTATTTCCAAATATTCTGACCACACAATGACTTCATAGGAACACAATTTATACTCAAATGAACATCAGTGGGTTTGGTTTGGATTTTTTTAAATATCTTTATCTAACAGTAATTATTTAATACAGTAAATGCCATGCACAGTATGAACAGAATTCATGAGCCTGCTCCATCATAAAAGGGACTGTTTAGTAACAAAGTAGTGAAGAACTTGTAGACAAATTTCTAAGGCATTACCAGCACACCAAAGGGCTCTTCAAAAGAAATATTTTGAAATGAAATGACAGGTTGAGGCATGGTTTCACATAAAAATTATTTTTAAATAAAGACATCAGCATGATGTCACATTGAAATCATATTGAAAACCCCTTTAACATGCTGGCAACGCCTTAGAGATTTTAGTTCATGTACAACAACGCTATCGGTGAGACTTTATGGGGAGGATTTACTTAAACTGGAGCACACAGAATCTGGTGCAGCTGTGCATAGCAACCAATCAACTTCTAACTTCAGCTTGTTAAATTAAGGTTTGACAATAATACCTGGAAGCCGATTGGTTACTATGTAAAGCTCCATCAAATTCTGTATGCGCCAGTTTTAGTAAATCTTCCTCTTTGTCTTTAGTGTGCATTGTGCACTCTATAAGAATTCAGAAGATGCACACAAAAGGCATACACGCTTTACAACTGTCCTTCAGGTTCATCAAGAAAAATAGCTGTACTGTTGTTCTCAGTGCTCCTTGTTTCAATATCAGCACTGCTGATTAATTCTTCCTGATTATCAGTGGATTCACATGCACAGCAACTGTCTTCCATTTTTGCTTTTTTATCAGTATTTTCAAAAGAAGACTGGAAGTCTATCAACAATACAATAAGACGATAAAGTTGTAAAATGACTACCAGGGAATTTTTGGCAGCAAAAAATACCAGCATTTGGTTAACCACACTGAAATAGGCCATAAGGATGATGCGGCATATGAGAAAAGGACCATCTTGAATCAGTAGACTAATTCCAATGTTCCAAAGATCTGCACTGTATCTACAGAACAGTAAACACAGGCCCCTCTTGGAGGTTGATCCTTGATGGCATCCAATATTTTGTACTATAAAGAAAAGATAAGTTGACCCAAATTAGAAAATATTAATAACAGAATAATGCTAGATGAACAGATGAACATCAATCAATATTACTCTACTACTAATATGATTCAACTATTTGCTACCAGCAAGCAGCATACGTTTCAGTTTGATAGGCTAGAGATCTCAAACAAAATCAAAAAGTGCATCAGAGTCAGTTGTTATACTCAGTACAAGTAGTATAGTTTACCTTAAAAACCTTAATGCCATATAAGTCAAGGTAAACAACTAAAAAACTGTTAGCACTTCTGCCTTCCAAGATTCAAATCTTACCTGGGACATCATCTGTATAGAGTTTGCATTTTCTTCCTTTCTTAGTCTAGGTTTCTTCTGGGTGTTCTGGTTTCCTCCCGAATTCAGAGATATGTTTGCAGGCTAAATTATTTTATACTAAATTGTCCTTTCAGCATATTTCTAAATTCTTTATTCAAGAAAGAGGACCAATCCAAGATGTAGACATGTAGAACATACCGTTACAGAGTAAGCCATATGTAACACAAATATATACATCCTTCCACTCAAATTACCTTTTTTTTTCTTTTTAATTAATTGAAAGGTCCAGAAATTATCTTAAAAGAAAGAGTGAAGCTGAAGTGGGGAGAAAACAGGATAAGGGATGAGAGGGCAATAGACAAAGGGCTAGTAGAATTCCACAGAGAGGGAGTGGTTCTGGCTGGCGAGAGGGGGGGGGGAGAGAACAGATGGGAAGAGGCTCGTCCAGACACCCCCGTGCCCTCTAATTGTCCAAGCAGCCAGCTCAATGTGTACTGGGAAATACTAGGGCTGTGGCAAGGTTAATGGGTTTGGTGTCTGTTAATGAACCAAGGTCTCCAAGTTTTCCATGATTTCTATTCTTGCTCCCTCAGAGTCATGGTGAGCTGCTCCAATTGTTGAATTTCTAAGATCCAAGCTTGCCATTGTGCAATGGTGGGGGGAGAGCTTTGCTTCTACGTTGTTGGGATGCAGGCCTTAGGAGGTGTTTGAGCAATGGGCCTTTATATTTCTCAATACAAAGAGAAGTAGCATGCAATAGGTAAGCTTCCCAGGTTCTTTCTAAAGGCACATTTGTAAGGGTCTTTATGATAAGTTCTACAGAATCCCAGAATTCCCTGAGCCTGGGGCATTCCCAAAAGATATGCAGGAGGGTTCCTTCTGCCTCTAAGCACCTCCAACAACAGTTGGACACGTATGGGTACTTCCAATGGAGTTATTAATTTGTAGCTATTTTCTCGATATTTACAAACTATAGAGGCTTTGTGCCTGACAAGAACTATGCTGTCCTTTTGAACTTGGGAGAATACAATTCCCCAGTCTTCTTTCCAGCACTTTAGGAACCGTAGTTTACTTCTGACCTTGCTATCAGGAAAGAATAAAAGAGTGATAGTATATTATGGGAATTTTGTCAAGGCACAGTTTTTTTTAACTGTGTGAAGGTGCGTACTGTTTTATGAGACTCAGGGAGGTCATTTAAGAAGCTGCTCAGCCAGCCATAGAAAATTAAATTCAGGAGTGAATGTTATTTCCAACTTGTGATCAAAGGGCGATTGCCTGATGAGAAATTAAAGAGGCAAAAAATTCCCTACTTCATAAGGACATTAAATTGTGGGTTGGAGCAGGCATGTCTAGAAGTTCCAGATCCTAAAATAGGGAGCATAGGGCTAGGCAAGGGTGCTAGAAATGTAGAGAGAAGCATTCCCTTGAGGGTTTAAAGGGTTGCAGTTACTAGTGGATTTTGTAAGTTGTGTGGTTCGAGGTTTTGGAAAGTCATGGAAGAACCACTAATGGGGTATCAATTGGGGATTGTTTCAATTTAACCCACAGCTTATGGTCATTATGGGTACACCAGCTAAGGAGTCTAGTTAAGTGTTTTGCTTCATGATACTTTTCTGGGTCCAAAAAACCCATGTCCCCCCCTCATGCTTTGGTAAAACTGGAGCGCCTAATACATGTGGGCTTGCCTCCTCATACAAAGTGAAGGAACTTGAAATTTAAAAGTGCTTTGGAAAGGAAGAAATCTCCAATCTAGTGTCTGGAAGTTGTGGGCAACCAGCAGGGTGTGTGTCCAGGTCCACACACAACCTTTATAATGATGGGCTGGTGAGAGCAGAGGCAGGTGGAGTTGGTGTTGCACTTGTTGCAGCCGGGAGGGAGGTGTGCTCCTGTCTAGAGACCAAGGCAAACCGCTCAGCACTTCACGTTGGAGAGGTTTCAGGTCAGTGGACTGAGAGAGTTGGGTCAGCTGAGAGAGTCTAGGAGACTGTGAGAGTCTGGGAGAGTAAATGCTGAGACAAATGGGAGAGAGTCTAGGGGACCAGAAGAAACCATTAGTCTTGGAGGAGTGAAGGGGCCTGGGGTGTCAGGAGAACCCCTACTTAGAGGCTAGGACTGGGCCTATGCAGCAAGATACTGCCACCAAAGCTGAGTGAGCCTTAAGAGCCAGGTGGCTTGGTATTTTCTGTTGAGTTTGCTGAAGCTGAATCCTCATGCATTGTAAGTCGTGCATTGCAAAGTTTTTGTTTCTTTCTCTTAATAAAAGTCGGCTATGAGGCCCTTACATTTAGTTCCTATATATATATATATATATATATATATATATACACTGTATATTGTCATTGCACTGACTGGGACACTCAGAATGTATACCAGATGACTGTAGGAAGCATTCAGTTCCCTCCCCCATTCGAACACTGTGACAGGGAGCTGCAGTTGTGGTTTACAGCTGTGATTGCTGTAATTGGTGGTCACAGCGATCACATGGTCCAGGACCAGTTTTATTGGCTCCGTACCCAGTCATGTCATCCACTGTGTCCAAGGGACACAGCAATCTCTGGACTTGCCAGTTTGTACTCTATGGGCCACACATGAGTCTGTGATGTGTAAGTTTGTACATCTATATCTACATGTACATGGGCCAGACAGAATACGGTTAGAGAAGCAACAATGCTGCAACATGGCTAACTTGTGCTGCCTGTAAGTTTCTATGTTAGTTATTATTTATATTGATCTTTGTGTCCCGGTAGGATCCTGGGTATACAGTACATGCAGTCTTGACTGCATAAAATGTCACCTAATCACAAATTGGATGTGGGGAATGCTCTTTCCTTTTGCAAATCAAAGCAGGTGGTACCCTGTTAGGCATAAGAAAAGTTCTTAGTTTAAAGTGGCCATAAGTCATATAAAAAAATCCATTTCTAATGTCTAGGTTGGAGTTAGGATTTCAGACACCAGTGAATATTCCAGAACACAGCAAGTTCAAACTCAGCATGACTGCCATGAGCAGTGTCAATATGACTGTTTAGTTGGCCCCTAGGTGGTTCTATAAAGCCAGGACGTGACATTTTGTTTCCCCGTGCAACTCATAGCTCATATAAGAAGGAATAACTTTCATTTCCCCAACTACGGTCTAATGAAAGATGAAATATATTCCCCTTTGACCATTGTAGAATGAGTGATAATTGCAGACAGTGTGATGTCGAGCAGTTGCAGGGTCTGAAAGGATTCTTTGATGCCCCTCTTCCCCCCATCCCCAGTGAGGTGACATTTGGATACATTTTTCTATAGCCACAAATCGTGTCCCTTATCAGGGAGATTGAGGGCATATCCTTGTCAAAAGACTTTATAGCAGCTAGGCCACTTTTGTCCACACACCATTAAACACAGGAGAGGCCTGCCAGTATTTCCATAATTGTTGGCTTGTATGGCAAAAGGGTCTGCAGACTCTTGTCCCATATGAAGGACACCTCATAATAGATGAAGAGCAGCTGGGATAGATACCATTCCCTGAAAGTTTATGAACTAGTTGAGCATCTGATGCAAGGTACAATTTAATCACTCACACAGCCCAGGGGTCTGCAGGTGATAAAGTGGGCCATGATGTGCTCTACCTGCATCTTCCTACAAATGCATTACACCAGGCAAGACATAAATTGTGTGCTGTGATCAGTAAGCATCTCTCTTGCAAAGCCAACTCATGTGAAACTGCTCACCAAATCCACAACCTTGTCTGCCTGAGCCTTAGGGAGAACCTAAGTCATAAGACTCTTAGGTGATGGCCTCTCTTTATAGTCTCCCTAATCTCAGTACACTCTCATTCTGCCACCCCCCTCAGGCAGTTTGTGTGCCTGACCTCTGAGTTCTTCCAAGCTGCCATCAAGGGAAATGACAGACTGAAGAGACTTCAGGCTCCTTATGGCAGGTTTAGAAGAGCAGGGGACTGACCGGGTTTCACAGGCTGTTCACCCCACTGACCTCCAGAGTTTCCCATGTCCCAAACAGTATCCTAAATTGACTCTAAGCAATATCCCTTTTCTCCAAAAAAATAATCCATATATATCAACTGTTTAATAACCCTTTTCTATTTTCCATTAAATAGTTTCTTACTGTGTTTTTCTGCCTCCTTGTATAAGCTCCCAAACCTCTCCCATTTCCTCTAATTTCCATTCATTTGGAATTAGCAGTGCACATTAGTTGCTGTCAACTCCCATAGTCAATAGTTCCTAATGAATCTCAAAGCATGAGCAAAAGTGGGTGGCTACATACAGTGGGACCATGAAGAATGAACTTGGCCATCTCTTACTAAGTAGGAAGTGGGATCTCAGTAGCAAAAACAATTTAATATGGAGAATTTGAGGAGGCCAAGAGAAGTATAAAGTACTTTTTTGAGTTTTGACTATACACGTAATTAGGTTCTTTTTCTACACCAGATTTTAATGTCACTTTATGTGAGTCCAGGACTTCAGTTGGAGATGTACAGGGAGATTGAACTTGGTTTATATTGAGCTACCAACTTCCCCAGACCAATACCCAATAACACAATAGTGGGGATAATGTCTTTTAGTACCACCCTCTCATAGAGGAAATAGTATTTCCCCCTTTCTATATGCCTGTGAATTACATAACTGACAAAATCAGCTGTTTTTTTTTAAAAAAGATGCATAAAATTTGCCACTGCTCCCTTGCATAAATAAATCTATGCCAAAATGAGAACGACTAAAGGATATGGTGACACTTTGCCAGCTCTGTAAATGCAGAAAAAAGCTGCCCCTTTCACAATGCAGTGGGAATCATCTGTCATTTTGCTAGTCTTAGGGATCTGCATACTTATAAAACATGGAAAAGTAGAATAAAATGAAAGGAAGTTGAAAAACAAATTGGAAGCAGAAACCAGGTAATATGACTTGTCAAAGTCACATGACTAGTGTTAGACAAGGTGGCAAATGGAGATGCAAGTGTCCAATTCTAACCAAGAGTAATTGTACCAAGCATAGCCCGTTGATGTCTGTAAATAGCAATCAGCTTGCTACAAAAGGTTGTATTCTAAAAATTCACACATTGGGGTCATTAGGATCAATGCCCAAATGACTGTGTCAGTTCATTAGATAACTGCAGTGAGTAGGGAGGTCAAGTGGTATTTGACAAGCTTAATTCAAAAGAATCAACAGATACTCTGTAGCAGTGAGTAATTTCATTATGATCTAATTACAATTTTGCTTGCAAATAGTACTCACCAGCTAGATCAAGTGGGAACTGCAACATGCTCCATGTCCAAATACCAAGGATTGAGTAAACCAATATGATGTTTTCTCTGGAAATAAAACACACATAATTAAAATAATACACTTTTATTATGTCAGAGCATTGAAAATAATTACTGTAGGTATTAAAGACAAACATTAAACATTACGGTTGGTTTACTATAAGAAGATGTCCGCGTGTCAAAATGAAAGGTCACTTCATCAAAATACATGATAAATTTGCAAAGTAAATACTCACTGAGCTTAGTAAATAAGGTGAAGTTTTACTTATTTTAAACAATCTTGTATCAGCAAATATCCATTTTTTTTTTTATTTTTCTCTGCATGTGATTGGGCATTCAAAGTCTACACTGGTTCATCCTATTTACTGACATTTACTTTGAATAGTAAATATGCACTAAGGCTGGTTCGCACATATGCGGCTTGGGAAATGCGTGCTAATCGCACACACTTTCCTGACCTGCAGGCAAACATGCTACTCTTTAGCAGAAGCATGAGGGTGCCATTTATTCTTAATGGCACCCCCCAAGCATTGAAAAATGCAGCGCTTTTTGGGGTATATAAAAATCACATGGTACAGCAGCATGTGGTTTCATTCGACTGTGGTTTTAAAAAAGGTTCAGGGACTTTTTTCCTCATGTTTAAACACAGGTACAGCAGCCCACTCAAATGAATGGGCTGTAGTCCCCCACCAACTCGTCTGCACAGAGCCGCAAAGATGTGAACCTAGACTTAGTGAACACTCTGAGTTTTGCCTATAGTAAATCCGGGTTGATATCCAATATGTTCTGCAAAAGGTAGCTCTGTTTCATTTTACATCTATATCAGATGTTAAAGTAATAATGGGTGTCACTGAAAAATGGATAGGATTGTGTGATTTAAATAGGATTTGTGAAAGTTAGACAATGCTTGTTTTTTTTTTTAATCTAACATTTGGGAGGTATGTTGCAAATTACATATTAAAAAGGAGTTGCAGTTTATTCCATGCTTCAACAATACAAAAGTGACAAAATCACCACTTTGAAAAGGATAAATAAAAGTTGTATCAAAATACGGGATAAGTTACACAACAGGGAACTGCTTGTTATTGCTATGCATGTTAACCTGCTTTGTCTCACTCAGCCACTACACTCATGCCAGAATTACAGGCTCTTAAACCTTAAAGGTCACTTCACAATGATTTATTACAGGCCTGTGAGACACAGACCTGTTATTAGTAAAAACAAAGAAGGAAAGGCGTCCTAAACTCAAGCTCCCTTTCTGTCACTATGAAAAAATGTGATTAGATTAATTTAGAGCAGGCAGTCCTTGGAGCTATGCAAAATAAGACTTTTTTAATTCTCAAGAGATTGGTGATGGGATTAAGAATTCCATGCTTAAAGTAGAAAGCACCTTTAAAGCGTATCTATATGTTTTTGAATGTTAAGATACATACCTACAACTCTCTGTGATTGCAGTGCACATTATATTAAATGTTGGACAAAGATTATACATATAATATTTGTCTAGCATAAAAAGTTTAATAAAGGGTGCACACATGTCAAAGAATTCTCAGAGCATCATAGGTTTTCTAAAGACAACATGGCAGCATTGGTTGTCTCTCAAAAACCCCTTCTCTGAATAAATCTTTATATAAAGATGTTTGAAGGGAGGCAGAGAATGGGGGAAGTCATTTATCTGACTTAGTCTCATGTACATGAAAGTTTCACTTAAGCTACTGAGCTCTGCAAACCTCAATTTTTTCTTTTAAATTTTTTATTTATAGATTAGAATGAGATTACAGAGAAGTGTCATACAATACTAACAACATTTCTGAGAAGGCCACAGATTTTGAGCAGGCAAAGAGACTTGGAAAGCTTACAGATAGCTTTCAGTTATATGATTTGGTACAATGAAAGCACAGCCTCTATTACTATACAATACTGCACAAAGGGTAGCAATGAAAAGTTGTTGTGCTAATCTGGGACAATCTCGTCAAATCATAAAACTTTTATTAAAGTAGAAAAATAGAAGGAAGAACTGGGGGATACTACACAAAAAAGGGGTATGGAAAAAGGGGGGTGAATAAATAATAAGGGGGAGGAGGGCACCAGGAATCTGGAGAATAAAGTGGAGGGAACCCTAACAAGGTTCATCCCAGGTACAACTTCTTCACTCCACTCTGGCCATCAACCTTTTTCCTTCCATTGAGAGTATAAACATATGCCAGTGCCACCAGGTTCCAGTCCTGCTAAAGCCAAATTTGGATTGAGGGTGGAGACCCTGTCTTTCAGCAGGTGGGGATGCAGGCCTTAGCAGAGTTAAGTAGTTGTACTAAAATAGATTTACGGTACATTTTTATAGACACTGAGTTATAATAGAGGGAAAAAAGCTGGGTAAAATGAAGTTCGTAAATTGTTGAGATATTCTTTGCACACTGTCCCAGAAAACTGTAGAGCTTGGGGCAGTTCCAGAAAATATTGAATAAGGTTCCTTAATCAGCTCTGCATCTCCAACAGTGATCTATGATAGAGAACATGCATTTATGCATTTAGCGATTGGCTCCTATACCACCTAGTAATTATTTTGTAGTTGCATTCTTGGATTTTGGTGCAGATCGATGAATTAAACATGAAAATATATACTTTCTGGAGTAGGTCCATAGAGAGGGTAATATTGAGATCACATTCCTATGCAGTAATGAAAGAAGAACATTAATTAGGGTTTGACATGGTCATGGAGAAGTAAATGCATGATTAAAAGTCCCTAAGTGTACCCTCCTCAGCACACATCATTTAAAATTCACTGAGACCACGGCTCAATTTGGCGGGGGGCAGTAGAGAAATCAAAACATGACACAATTGGAAAGCTGTCCAAAGGGAAAGGTAGAATCTGCCCATAGAGGACATAAAATGAAACAGCTTAGGCCATTCTGAATCTACCAGGAAATGAGAGGAGGTTAGTGTCGACTTCCCTAAAGTTTGAAAAGAAAGGTTGGAAAGGCCAGGGGGAACTCAGGATTCCCCAGTATGAGAAGAAGAGAAGATGGATATAGAGCAAACCCAAATTTCATCATATCCTTCCTACAAACTAACAGGGTTGGGTCAATGAAAGGGTGAGACTTCAGGTCCATTGGAATGAATGGCTTCCACCACGATATGATTTTCAAAGGGACACTACATTGGGCCTGCTGCAGGAAAGCCCAGACCTTAATATGTGCCTATTCTAGTCTATCAAGTGTACATGGAGACAAATGGTGCAATATATTGGGTCGAATCGGGCATTGCAATTCCGCAATGGGATTTTAGGAATTTAAGTACTCACTGGTTTATACTGTACAAGAACGTCTATTGGCCCCCCAAAAAAATTAGTGAAGGGAGGTTTTGGTAAAATTTTCATCTTCAAAAAAAAATGCAGAGGCCTGAAACAAGAGTGTAGTCCTGTGTGTCACTTGTTAAGTAAGGTTTGGACATTCCTTAAAAGGGGTAGAATTTTGTTTTTATGTGTCTAGGAGTCTGCATGGGATCATAATGCACAGTTATTTAGGTGCAGAAGGGGCTTATTTAAATTTAAAATGAAAATGTAGTCTAGATAGGGATGCAAGGGGAACCACTATATGCAATTCCTCTGATGTTTGAAAATTAATTTTCAAATTAAATAGTGCACCATCTTTGTGAAATTCTTGAAGAAGGCAGGGGAGGGAAAAGGGCTCCAGAGAAAGTACAAAAAATATATCAGGGAGACAAGTGCCATCACAGATTTGTTTTGAGTCAACATGTACACTTTGTAAAAAACGAGTAACTCTGACGCACAGGAGTAAAGTAGTGTAAGGGTGAAAAGGATAAAAATTCTAAAATTTATAAAGTAAAAGATGATAATGGCAATATTGGCATATAAGTACTTAAAATAGGGTATGTAAATGCATAGGTGCACAATAAGTCCTTATAAGAGTCTCTCAGGCAATTTGCCTGGAAGCTTTTTAGCACAAAAAGACGGCAGCCATCCTCGGAGCAAGCCAGCTCTGTATGCAGGGACAGAAGAAAAGAGACAGGAGGCGCCCGTCTGAGTGTAGTAATAACACTGTATTTAATAGCAAAGGATTAAAAACACTCACAAAGGAAGTAATAAAACAAGCTCATCTGTGTATATGAGAGATGACCATTCCTCAAAATGTCCTGCAGGCACCACTGGTGGTTAGTGCAATAGCAGCTGGGCTGATGGAGATGGTAAGAGACACTGTAGTGGTCAATCCTACAGAGTAGTGGTGTTGTGCAGGAAGGAGCCTAGTAACCAGCACTGTACACTTCGGCATGTGACATCACAGGAAGAGGGTCAGTGGGGAGGAAGAGCACAGATGTGGGAAAGTCAGGCTATGCACTCTGAGCCTCTAGCTCCTTCTATTGGCCTCTAGAAGGAGCTAGAGGCTCCGAGTGCGTAGCCTGACCGCCGGAGTGTTCCATGCTGGTTTCTAGGCTCCTTCCTGCACAAACGCTGCTGGATCGGCTCTACAACACCACCACTCTGTAGGATTGACCACTACAGTGTCTCTTACCATCTCCATCAGCCCAGCTGCTCCTGCACTAACCACTAGTGGTGCCTGCAGGACGTTTTGAGGAATGGTCATCTCTCATATACACAGATGAGTTTGTTTTATTACTTCCTTTGTGAGTGTTTTTAATCCTTTGCTATTAAACATGTACACTTGATGGCTGCCTATGGAAATCCATATTATTAGATTATGTGTATTTCCCTTTTTCGAAAATATATTTTTACTTTAATCTTTAAACCTAATCTTAAAAAAAAAAGAAAAATTATGTAAAACCTTGTGCTAAATGTAAAAGTTATTTAAGTACAAATAAACTTTTAGTGTAACTTGGTTAAGTACATAATTGTTGAATCAAAACAAAAGGTGTTGAAAGTCTTAGGCCTTGTCCACACCATGTGCAGAAATTAGCTTTTTTATGCACCTGTATCTGTAAGGGTACAACAAAAACAATTGGTTAATATGTGCCTTGTTTACACCACAACACTAGTATCATGTGCAATTGTTTTCTTTGTGTCCTTGCAGAGA